GTTTGTGAAGTTATAATTATTACCACAATAACAAGTTACAGATTCCTATACAATGATGGAAACTATGAAAAATTGTTCTTACTTGTAAACTTGTCCCTAAATCTCTTTTAAATGCGTGTTGCTATAAGCTGTGCTAACGTAGATCATGTGTGCTTTAATTCCTTGCACACGAGCAGTGCCTCTTGCATTTACAGCCACGATCAAAGGTTCGTTGAATCTCACAGTGGCCGCGATGTGAAACACAATATTAGCATTCTCTATCAACGTAATTTGATCTTCTCGCGATAAACCCAAATCTGGCAGACTCACGTTACCTTGTACAAAGATGAATGTTGCTCGAGGGATCCTTTTCTCTGACGCTGTCATAAATCTGGAAATGGAAACATAAAAAGTCATTTCTCTGAAAGTGTATTGTTTTGTAAAGTATATTGTTCATTGTATTATAAACATAGAATATTATTGTTTATAATTTAGAATATTGTTTATAATTTTAGGATATTATTGTTTGACTAATTTCCAAATTTATCAACAGAGAAATTAAATGCAGAATATTAACATATTGACGTACGCACTGATGTGAACATTGACGTACGTACAGAGAGATACGCAGTAGAAATGTCAAAGAATACTTTTTTTTTTTTGCAGTGATTTGCAGAATGAAGCCAGAGGAGAATAATTTCAAGGAAAACCAATTAACTTTCCAAGCAATTAACACGTTTCAACGTGATGTTTTAATAATAAATTTAATAATAAATTATAGAGAGATGTATTGACTGAATATACCAAACGAAGTGTCTTAGATGAATCTACTTTGACTATTTTGACTAGCTTTCAAGAGAATATTGGTTTAGACGTTTGGATTTCTGTTAAGAACGTCATTTCCTGCAAATTTAACTGTTGGAAAGCTTCACAAGACTGATTTCTCGTTTCAATAATGTAATAAAGCATTAAACAAGAAGACTATGCCAATCAAAATTGAGACAAAGTACATAATTATCCAGAATCAAAATAGAGGAAAATTCAGCAACTTACCTTAAAGTAGTTCCAATTGCATTAATTGAAAACACAACTAAACATACAATGCCAGAAAGTGGTTCACAATGTTCTTTAGCTACAGGAACTGAGTTATTTATATGCTTCCTATAATACCGCCCCACCATCTCTATCAAAGACTACGTCGTCTATACTGTGCTTGTTACCAGTATGCAAATAATAACAGTTTGATTTTTTATGTGTCATTAAGTATGCAAATGGATGTATTTACGTCTGTAAGTACATGGAAAATTGACTTATTAAGATGGTACTACGTTTGATCTTACTTCTTTCTAGTACATGTACTACCGAATCTAATGATATATGTATTTCTTCTTGCAGATGCTTTTCACTTCTTTAATGATGTTAGAATAATCGACGATTAATATACAAACTTTCCATCAGGGATATTAAAGTAAAGAAAATAGAAAGCTCTATAATCTGCAGTAGAATACAGTAGCTTTTATTTGTGCATTTTATGAAAAATCACTTGAACCTCTGGAGATACATTCTGTTACAGCTTATAAAATTTCTAAAAGAAAATATATATAATCCAATTCTTCCGACCATTCTGACAGACCAAGTGTTAAAATTCAACTTGTTCAAATGTTATTTTCACGTGTTAATTCAAGTGTTAAGTCGTTTTTGTATGACTAGGTGTTTGGTTTTGAATGTGTCGCAGTAGACTATGGAATAGCTTGTCCAACTTGAAAATTTTGATTTGAATGTTCTTTTGACGCTGAGAATTTGACTAAGAATTTTGCTGATACTAATGCATGGCTGGTCACGAGCCTGCTTTCATTTAAATGTGATTGGCCGTTTTGTTATAAATAAACCATAAAAGATAATAAACGATATCGATGAGAAGGTTGAAATAAACCGTTTCAATTTGATAGCGAACAAACAAGCCAACAGGCGTGACGCTTCTACTCCCTGATTGTGTAGACATTATGCAAAAACACGTTCGGCAAAAACACGTTCAGTAAAGTCACAATTAACATAAACATGACCAGGCATAGGATGTGCTTAATTTTGCAATAACACAACTTATTCATAATTATTCTCTCTGTCTCGTTAGAATTTTGTTTATTCTACTTAAAAAGTTAAATTAAAATAACTCACTTTGTCCAGAGTCGCTTATAACAATAAGATGGTGTAATAGTAAAATTTTTTAAAGTCGGGGCGATTCTATAGACACGTATATGTGTTGGGATAAGTTTTAAAATTCTTCCTTCTAATTGATCGATCACTTTTCACCAATATACCAATCACTATGGTTCTAGAAATTCTTAGTGATTGCATTATTTGCACTTTGGTACAGTTTTCGTCATTGTTGACGACTAGAAAAATTAAGACGATTAGAGTTTCCTTCTAGAAAAATTAATGAGCTTTGCAAAATTCTACTGAGCAGTAAAAGTAAGTTTAAGAAAGAAAGTGCAGTTTCTTTCATAGTTTCATATTTTTTATCAATATGTTTTTTGTCAATATATTTTACATACTGTGTAACAATGTTTTTCTGTACAAACCAATAAATATTGATAACAGTAAATATATTCATTGACACGAATGTAGTTAATTCCAATAAACATTTGCAACATATTAATGTAAATTAATGTAAATTTTCTTCTAACTAATATATTTATCATTTTATATAAGAATTTGCAAGGAACAATTTACTTTCTGCATGTTCAATACGCACTGAATGTATTGACTAAACTGTTTTCATATTCGCTCTTGAGTCTTTTTTTTTATATACTGCGACGTTCGACATTCGATACTAGTTACTTCGTACAATAGTCGCAGCGAATGTTTCTGTCCTTGAACGTATGTATTAGCGCAAGAATATTAAATATTCTTGCGCTTTAGATTTATCGGTGTCATCATTTCCCATTCTTTTATTTCTATTGTTATTTTAAATTTTTAATATTAATATTATATTAATCCCAATAATTTTTTTCATTTAATATATCTATATAATTTTGTTTCATATAATTGCTACAATTTTATTATTCATGTTCAAGCAGTATGCAACTTCTCTTTTGAAAGTATTTACATATTTTTTTCATAAAAGTTTTTTTTTCATAAAGAGTACATTGAGATATGGTGACGGTATATTTCAACCAAATTTGTTACAGAATACTAACTTAATGTAATTTCACTTTTGAATACAATTTCTAATGTAATTTCATTTCAATTCTTTATACAATTCACATTTAGAAACACACTTATAAATCAACTAGACTAGTTACAAATCCAGATCAAATATGGTTCTGTGTATATTGAATATTTAGTAAGGAGAAGGTAACGATCAATTTTTGTCTTTGTGGACAATTAGCCATTATTAATTGTCCCTTGTTACCAATAAACAAGTCATCCAGTTATCGAACATTAATTGTAATCATAATTACAAGAGCAATTTAAATCTATCCATGGATATATTGTACATTACAAACATATTACAAGAACACAAAACATTTGCACATTGGTAATTGAAAATTCCTCTCAGAACAATCACATCAGTTATCACTTTGATTAATTGTCAAAATGAATGAAAATGAATTACAAAAGAAATAAATAGAAAGCATAATATTTTACAGCAACTAAATCAACAGTCTTCAAATGGAGTAAGACAAGGACTGATTTATATGCACTCTAATGGATTTTTTGCATACCTGATTCAAATTCCACGATAAGACCGTAAGTTGTTAAGAAGTGAATGGAAATATTAAGAAAATAAATCAAGAACTCGCAAAAGCACTTGTAATTAAAATTGTGTGATTTATACATGTATATTATGATTCTAGGTATTAGTTTTTAGCTCTTTAAATTAAATTCAAATTCAAATTTTTAAAATAATCCAACAAAAAAATCCTTTATATAATATTTTTTGTATTTATTAAACGAAAGATGATTACGCACTATTCTTGGTTTTTTAATTCTTTTATTTCAATTAATATATATAAAGAGAATAATCAACGCACTTAGGCTAACAATAAATAATATAAACATTGTGCATATAATATATAATTATGTGCTATTGTTAACAGTACTGTTATGGAGGAAGATATCGCACATCAACGGCATCACTATGCTATATAATATTAATTCTATCCTAACAATAAATAAACCAAAAACGCTGTCTTCTCAAATAATGGTATCAGTTGCATCAATATACTTTGTATTAGTAAGTTATATAATATACGGTCTATATAATAACCGTTCAACCATTTAGCTTATTTGATTTTATCTTCACACGTCTACAAATACAGAGGTTAAGTTTAGGTTTAGGACAACAATATTTGCACACTTGATGAAACATTATCATATTTTAAACTGTTTGAACTTTTGCCAAGTATAATAGAAAGAAATAGATGTAATCGATGCGTATTAAAAAGTAGAAAATCTAGGTGTTAACAACTTTGGTACAAACACTTTTAGTCAAATGTGAAAGAAATATATGATATACAACTGAAAAGCTCATAATTTAAGAAGCTCATAATTTAATAAATTGTTATATTTAATTGTTATAATATGGTTCAGAAATTCATTCATTTTGTATACAATTTTTGAATCGATTGGACGTATTATCGTTGAAATATTACTGAGTAATAGAATTACACACTATTTTGCCTATTATGTTAGTCTAAATACTAGAATGCAGACGAAATCTATATTAATTAGTGTTATATGTACGTACAATTAAATTAAGAAATTAATAACTAATTTTCATGGAACTAATTTATTGTACGTTCCAAAATACCTATTTCATAAGGAACACTTTTTAAACGAATTTCTAACGATAATGTATACTTTCATAAAAATACCACAGGTACAAATATTTTCTTAAATAAAAGTTAACAGAACATTTTTAGAGAAAGAAAAAGAAGATGACTATTTCGAATACCTGGTTGTAACAGTAAACGTTTCGGTTGAGTGTGATCAATACCAATAGAAAGCTTTTCACTATTTTAATCTATCTTGATTGACGAGACTGACTGGAACTGATTCTTCTTTCCAATTTTGTCCGACAAATAAGACTGTTTGAAATAATTAATGAACAAGACAAGGTAACTGATGTACATCAGCGCAGAAACTTTCAAATTAAACACCGTAACGTTGCACTGAACTTGAGCAACTTGCACGTAATAATATATCGAGGCAGTTATAATGATTCCCAAAATCATTTGTGCTATTTGCAACGTAGTCAAGGTCATAGCAATCCATTTTGGCAGATTGAATCGCATTGCCTTTAAAGCATAATAACAATACATACAAAAATGTATAAAAGCGTTTACAGCGCCAAACCATATAATGGATCCTGACGTTTCCGCGTAAGAGTGCCATCCATAGAGAAAAACTGTCACGTGATGATACCAATGTAGAAATATCAATGGTTGTTTCCGTAATACAATGAAGACAGTGTCGCCAAATTCCAGCAATTTCATCAGAGTAAATATCCATGACCAAAACGCGCTCACAGGGTTATGTGTAAGGTATCTGCAAGAAATTATTCACACATATTATTATTCATAATAATAAATTATTTATATGAATCGGTATTTTTAAAATATTTCAAGTTGACACTTGAGGTATATTCGTTTGCTTGCAAGTTGTACTAGATAGAAATATTTGAGACAAAAATTTGAGAGCATTAACGAGAAATTATTCTGTTTAAAGTAATTAATAGAACCAAACAGATTCGTTAAGTCATTATTGGAGTAATTATGATCTATTGATATTAATTATGAATTTATTAGTAGTGTGAAAATGAAACTACTTATGCTTTGAATAATGAATTTCATCACCTTCCTGTTATTATGTAATAATAATTAATCTTATAAATGTGATTGATATATTTTACAACATTATGTATATTTTTTTTGCACACGCGAGTAAATAATACCAATCATATTACTTTAAATTGAAAAATTGTTGAACTTCATTAAACGACAAAAGTTGTATAACATAACTAAAACTATCAGATAAAGAAATATCTGAAATTCATTTGTTACTTGCATCTTTTTTATTTGAAAATAGATTCAATGTTCAAAGCTGATATGACTGCTTTAAAAAGAATGACTGCGTAAAAATAACAGCTGTGAAATTACCTTGGTATACAAACACTATAGTAATATCCGTGGTGGCTTAATACATGGTACAATTCTGGCATTACTCTAAAATTACAAAAAATAGATAACAGTGCAAGTACAATGTTCCATAAAATAAGCATGCCTCTTATTTCAAACTTTGGCCTGCTCGACATGTAATAACGTCCTCCAAAAATGAGCAGGATATAAATAGCACAGTAGTAGAAACAATTTGGCAAATGATCCCTCATCCATGCTTGACTATCTGAGTAAACAAAGTTCTTTTCAAAATCAAACACATAGGTGTATGCGGGCAATGCAACCTGCACGCGATCCATGTGATGTAGCTGTATGTCCATTGTGAAATATCTTTCCTTTCTTCGGTGGTCGAAGAGTATTTAGGAATAATTTACTGCTACCAGTCTATTGGAAGAAAAGAGAAAATAATTATTGGATGTTGTTATTTGGTATTTGATAGTATCATTCAAAGTTGAAAATTTGTATTCTCTTCCAAGAAATGAAAGAGAGGAGCGCATTTATATTCCATGATCAAATTATTGAATAAAAATCACCAATTTAAATATCTGTTACAAACGTGCTTAACCTTTAAAGTATTTAAAATTATCTCTAAAAGTCAAGATTATACAACAAATTAAGTATAATTTAAGTATAATTCTTCAAACATACACTTTTGTCCGATGCATAGGTAAAATTGTAATTTGTTTGCATAGGTAAAATTGTAATTTGTTTGAAACTGTAATAAATAAAGGATCTTTTCTGTTTTAGTATTAATTGTGAAACATTGTCTTATTTGATTTGACCAAAATCATTATTTACCATTTATATTATTATTGATAGCGCGCGCGCGCGCGCGCACCACAGCAGACAGACACACACACACACACACACACACACACACACACACACACACACACA